CATGACTCGGGCAATTTCAGCAACTTCTGAAAACGCGCGTGATATAATAAACCTTAATTTTACTCGGCTCCATGCGATTACCTATACAAATTGCACTCCACTCAGTTCAATTACCGTTGTAAATAAAATTGGAAACAATTAGCCCAGATTCATTGCTAATCTGAATACCCTTTTAGTCTATCAGGGTAAACTGAACTAAGAAAAGAACTTCTCTTAGGCACCAGAAAGTACAATTTGTGAGTCTTTGCAAATCTTCTTGGCATATCACTTAAAGAGAAACTGAACAATGCATTCACATTTAATCTCCTTGGGTTTCCTTGTAAGGGTATTCACATTTCAGTACTCAAATGTGGGCGACTTTATATTAACATTTCAGAACACAACATTCATAACTTGATGTGCAAAGGAATAGATTCAGCGTATTTAATGGCTGATGTATCACAAAGAGAGTGAAAATCAGAAATGGAGAATTTCTAGCATTACATTGTAATGTATATGATTAACAGTTAAAAGAGAGGGTTCTCACCTAATACTTGAAAATGATAAGAGCCGTAGATTCCAGGACTATTTATGTTTCTAATTCCTAAAATGTACAAACACAAATCATTGCTCAGCTAGCTATTGTGGAGCCAAAAATATCCATGTACTAGGAGAGCACTATAAGAAAATTAAACTTGAGGTAATTGTTGAAAATAAAACATCCTTAAACACACATTAATTTGACGAACAATTGCTTAGTATCAACCATATACATGGAAGCATTTATAATCACAATTAATAAATTAATTAATTCATGTATACAACATCTGGAGGCTAGGGAGACTCTCACTGAAAAAGTCGAGAATTCTAAGCATTTTAATTTGTCCATTTCATTGAGACAATTAATTCTTACCTCACTTAGATACCTCCAAGAGACAATTAGACATGCACCTGGTTGACGTGACTTCTTTCTAAAATAAACAGATGTACCATCAATATCTATAATGTACAATCAATTTATGTTTACATAATCAACAATGATTTTGATAAACATATACAGCCTTTTAATTTAAGTTTTAACTATAGTGAAAAAACCTAACATCTAAATGTACATTAAATTTCATATTTTACGATTATTCACCAAATTAAAGGCAAGGCGAATATCGTCAAATTATCCCCGAGATGAAGTTGAGGGGATTATTCGACAACATTCACCGAACCTGAGGTGAGTAATTGTTTTAGTAAAAAATTTCAGAGCTGAACAACAGAGAAATTTCTAAAATCATAACATTTTAGTAACATTTATTAACATTTTATTTTAACATTTTATATAAACCGCGAGGAGTGGTTTATATAGCATCATATAAGGAACCGCTCGAACAATCAGATTGCTGGAAACTCTTTGCTCAGCTCTGAAATTATACTAAATATTGATATATCTAGTAGGTAGCGATCAAACAAGACGACACATGGTTCTGTTACTCGGAGTTTCATGCTTACACACTCATCAAACAGATTTAAATCTGTCACCTTTGTCTTGGTCCATAAAATGAGAAAAAAGAACAAGGCTAATATCAAGCCTTCTTGACCGAACAACCTTGGTTAATAAAGGATTTATTACATTGAAAAAATATTTCACTTTAGCAAGAATTAAGAATGACTCGTTAACTTCGAGAGCCAGGAAAAAAAGCCAACTGTGTTTGCAGCACAACAAACTCACAAGAGTTGTTTCTGTTCTCTTTGTTTTGACTATCTTCTGCCACTAAATGCATTTCTATCACTGAAATTGTCCAGGAATTAGAACTGCCCACCTAGTTCTAATTCTATTTTTTTTTTTTTTAGCAGGATTAATGCAGGCAATACCGAGTGAACAAGATAGGCCCATTTTGTTGGCTTAGGTAGCCAATCAGAACACAGGATTCGCTTCATCTTGCCCACGAGTACTGTGAACAATGTAATAAATATGTGTTACTAACCAAGCATGAGGTCAGGATGGCTGGATATTGGCTGAGTCCCTTTTTAGCATTCTTATGGGCTGAGATGAAGTTGATGTCCAAAAAAGTGCTGTACATTAGGACAAGGCTAATATCCAGCCATCTTGACCAAACAAGCTTGGTTAATAGAAGATTTATTAAAGTACAAAAAGATTTCACTTTATTGAGAATTAAGATCATTTGCCTTGTTTATGAGAGCTGCGACAAACTCACGAGAGTAGTTTCTGTTTTAACTCTTTTCTACCTCTTGCTGAGTTTGCATTGCCAACACTGTCCAAAAAGATTTTTCATGGGTGGGATCAAAGAAGGCAATCCTGGGCAGGCAAGATGGGCCCCTCTAGCCTGCTCAGGTAGCCAATCAGAACACAGGATGCACTTCATATTGTCTAAGGGTGTTGTGAGCAATTTAATAATGAAAAATACTAAAACCTGCTCCAATTTTTTTTTCTTCAGTTTGGTGTATATAAATTAAGTACTGACACGCATGTACCTTGTGCTTGAACATATTATAAGTGTAATAATTACAGCCTACACGAAGAGCAAGTTGTGAAACTGACTTTCTTAGCGCCTCTATACACAATTCCTTTTAAATTTCCCTCAGTCCAGACTTCAGTCGTTCCAGATTCCTATTTCTAACTTTCCTCATTCAACTCTCTTCCTTCTCAGAAAAGGATTTTTATACTCGTACAAGAATATTCCATGTCGTTAAAGCAGAACTGACACTTGAATCCTTAAACTCATTGCTGCTTCAAATCGTCCAAGTAATTCAATTGTACATTTTACCAAATTGGTTTCTAAGATAACTCAGCTTAAAGAATATTTCCCAGGTCTTTGCATATCACTTTCCACTTTAGTTTTCATGACGAGATAACATTCTTCTTTCTATTCATTTGTGTTTAAGGCGAAAAAAAAACTACTTTCGAGATTCAAATGTTACCCTTATTATAATTTATCTGACACATACCAATAAC